CCAGATATGGAGTAAGATGCTATCAATACATAAGTATGTAATAGACAGTTTGCATAAATGCTGCCAATGTAGCGGTATGGCTTTTTATTTTCATTGGTGTTGTCTGTGTTATGAACATGCTGTAAGGAACAAAAGGCTCTTTTCTTCCAAATTTAGGAATGGATTCCTCCAAGGGAGCGATTCAAATTGAGCATTATGACCCTCGCAAAAACCTGTGGTCTGTGGTGTCGCCAATGGTCACCAGAAGGCTGCAATTTGATGTGGCTGTAGTAGATGGCAATTTGTATGTTGTTGGAGGCAGAGATGGACTGAAGACGCTGAATACTGTGGAATGTTACAATCCAAGGACAAAACAGTGGAGTCCTGTGCCATCCATGAGTACCCATCGTCATGGATTGGGTGTGGCAACTTTGAATGGCCCTCTCTATGCTGTCGGTGGCCATGATGGTTGGTCTTACTTGAGTACTGTTGAGAGGTAAGGAGCAATTTTGGGACCTTACCATATAGAGGCAGGTCTTTTGATCTGTATGCCGAAGTAAATCTTGGCTATTTGTCACTGCTAGCATTGATCTCTTAAAGATCCAAACAACTAATAAAAGTGCACAACGAGACACCAGCAGGTGACTAACTATCACATATTTTATTGCATGTCAAGGAAGCCCCTAGTTGTTACTGTCTTAAACAGAAACTGAAGCAGTGATACATTTTCATTTTCCAACTTTTTTTATTTATGCTAGCTGCACATTTCAATATGCACTCTATTATTTGGAATTTGTGCTAAGTTTGTGGGTATACTTAAGTATACAGCGTAAGAGTAAAATTAATTTGTAAAATAATCATTTTGTAGAAAATCAATTTTATGATGAACAAATTTTACCCATTTCCCGTGTTCATAGAATGGAACCCTGCTTTACGGCCACCCCATTATTACGGCCACTTTATTTTGGCCCAAACAAAAGCTCAGTTAGTCCTTTTCTTATTTAAAGAACCCCTTTAACATGGCCACCCCATTAATACGGCCAGATTTTTGTGGCCTGTTGGTGACCGGATTAACAGGGTTCCACTGTACTAACATTTTGAATCTTATGATGTCAAATGGTTGTCTTGTAGATTTGATCCAGATACCAAGCAGTGGAGTTTTATTGCAGCCATGACGACGGCAAGAAGCACTGTTGGAGTCGCTGTTCTTAATGGCAGACTGTATGCAGTTGGAGGTAGAGATGGTGCTGCATGCCTTAACTCAGTGGAGTGCTATGACCCTCACACTAACAAGTGGTCAATAAGATGCCCAATGCTGAAGAGGAGAGGAGGTAACATTTTAGAAGAATTTTTATGTCCTGGAAGTGCCTGTTAGAGTGAATTTTACATGATCTAAAGCTGCTTTCAATATTGATATTGGTGTAGATTAGATTGTTTAGTTTTACTGAAAACTGTAAATTAAGTAGTAAGGTTTCAAGTTGTACTGTGATATTTTTATACCTTAATTTTTTTGGTATTCAAGCCATGTTTGTATTAAAATACCCATGGCAAGACCAATTAAGCCATATATGCTGCCTAAGCGACCAAAAAAGGTATGGTAGGGTATTTACTGTATCCAAATTCAGTCAAGTGACCATATCAGGGTTGTAGTTAAGAAAATAGTCTCCTGGCTAAGATTTTCATTGAGCCGGTCACCATTTTTCATGAGAGACCTGGAACAAAATTTTTGTGCCCAATCTTTTGCAACGCCTTGAATGCGGGGCTACCAAGCTTCATGTTTACAAGATGGTGGATGCAGTACACGGAAGGAGAACACACCAAACAAGTGCTTAAAACAAGGTTTTTTTCAAGTACTTTACTCGTTATAGTGGCACCGATAGTCAGGAATTTATTCCAAACTTTTCGTTTAAACGATTCGCTGGCAACCAGTGCTTAGCAACAACCCTGCCATATGATGATATCCTAGCCATATCAGGTCACTCATTGACCTGATATCAGGATAGGATATCAGGCCCCAGTTGTTCGCAGACTAGATAATGCTGCACTGGATAAATCGCTATCCAGTGAATAAATGTTAACAAAGCAAACCATGCTATCCGCTGGCTACTGATTTATCCGGTGGAGAGCCCTAACCCCCTTTTGAACAACCTGAGTCAGGACACCACAAGTTGACATGGCTTCTAATTGGCTTATGTGAATTTGGGGTTAAGTAAATGCCCCATACCCATAGTGTTAACTGACTGTGTGTTGTCATTTCTATGGTAGGTGTGGGCGTGGCTGTTCTTGATAATTTCCTGTACGCACTGGGTGGACATGATGCACCTGCAAGCCAAGACTGCTCTCGTCAATTTGATTCTGTGGAGAGATACAACCCCAACACAGACCAGTGGACTATGGTTGCACCTATGATCAACTGCCGTGATGCTGTCGGAGCTGCATGTCTTGGTGACAGACTGTACGCCATTGGAGGATATGATGGATACAAGTATTTGAGTGCAGTGGAGTCATACGATCCTGAGAGGAACAAGTGGGAGGAAGTTGCCTCTCTAAACTCTGCCCGAGCTGCAGCATGTGTTGTGTCTGTGCCAAACAATCCAGTTGCAAGTTAACACTTGTGGCACATTGCAAGGAGGCAACTATGTATAATGTAAACATAGTGTTGACACATTTTAACTCTCATACCCTTCTCTCCAAATGTAAGCTAACCATTCTCAGCCTAGCACAACTGCTGTCAATCAGGCTGTCAATCAGTTGAACTGAGACCGGTTTAGAATCGCTCACAGATAGTCAGAATCCAAAGTCAGATATCCTTAAGATTTATTCTAGTCAAATGCAGATCATCTGATTCCATAAATAAACATTTCAGCTGTAAAAGTACAAGTAAGGTATTTATTAGACTGTAAGAACAGTTTTTCTTTGTTATCACTAATCAGGGTGTTTACTGTTGTTTTGTTAAATAGTAAAATGCAAAATATAAGTAACTAGAAAAAATCCCTTGTGGAATATTATGTAAGTTAAGTGGTGTTCTTCAGATTTTTGCCATGGTTTTATAATTTATTGGGTTCATATTTACATATAATTTTCTTTGTAGCAAGACTTAGTGGTCTGAAGTAAAACTTTTCCGCAAAAAAGATAAAGATATGCATCATCCAGATTTCCGAGCACCTCGATGTTTTATGGTTTCTATATTTTGACTCATTGGAAGTATTTCAAGAAAGGTTTTAATTAATGGTCTGTTTGCACATGTAATATTTAACAGAAGTTTCATGCGCTAAAAGTTGTGTTATCAAATGTATATTGATATTTATGAACAGAATTATCTTGATCTTGAGATTTATGACAGGAACTGTGAATAAAAGCCAGTTGGTTCTCTAGATTCCTACACAAATGTCCCAGCTCGCAGCTCATCACACCATTGAGAAGAAAGACTGGGTGATAAGTCACAAGGACATCTGTGTAGCAGGCTGGTGATTCTCAAAAAAGGCAAAAAGAACAAAATAATATCAGGGCCAAGTTGTCAAAAGCCGATTTAAGCCTACCCAGGATTAAAAGTTAACCGAAGTATCAATTTTTGTTGTGTGAAAATGTCTTTCACTGCTTATGTTTTGTGTGGTTCAAGATTATGCAAGCTCAAAACTGAAAGACAAATAATATAAACATAAAACCTCGTGGAAAAACTATAAAACTGAAATCAAAATTCTCACTAATCCTGGGTTAGCTTAACTGGGCTTTGAACAACCTGGCCCAGGTATCCTGAAACTGAACCAATGAACTCTGTACAAAGTAACAGATAGTAAAATGATATTGAAATAAAGTTGTTTAAAAATGAGCAAATATCTTTTTCCTTACATGTTTTGTGGCAGTTGATACTTCAAAACTGAAGGAAATGATTTAATAACACTTACGCACAATCAATAAGAAATTATCATCATCATCGTCATTAGCCATAACCCCCTGGGGGTATTGGGCCAGCAAAAATAAGAAATTATGACGAGGCAAAATATATTAGCATGATTATAACAGTTATTATTGCAATGGATGACTTTCAGATTATGTCGATTGAGTGGAAATGTCAGTGATAGAGGTTTGGAATAAAAATTGGTCCGAAGACTGGTGAACTCCACTATCTCGAAGTCTAAAGGAAATGAAACAGTTTGAGATCTTGTTGGTTCAAGAGAGCTGTTAATAAGTGATAGAAATTCAAAGAACTATATCCAACAGAAAATGATTTGAGTTCAAGTTTGCTGGGAATTCAAGATAACCAAGGCTACAATAGCTAAGTTCCACATAACTGTAATTCCAAACTCGACACATGTGTTGTTTGTTAATATTATTAATAGATAAT